GGTTTGCGTTTCGTCGGGAAGGAGGTGGTCACCATAACTCCCTCCCCTCACCGACCTAGACCACTGATTTGGGAGATCCTTGTGGGCCGTTTACCRAACGCTTACCAAGTCACACTATCTCACCAGATGAAGATGGTAAGGACCAAGAATTTTATCCGGTAAGAGCGAGACAAGGACCAAGAGTTTTATCCGGTAAGTGAGGGCGACGACTCTTACACACGGTAAGCACTTATCGGGTAAATTGTTGCATACGATGTCGTTTTGGTGGACTAAAATATTACCCGATAAGTAAATAATAGACAAAAATGTTCGTGATCAAGAAGAAAGTGTTAACAATTTCATCAAAGATTTTATGGGGGTTTACAAATTTTGGAGGGGGGGAGTCATCTTCTTCAATGGGTTTACTTTTTTTTTTCTTCTAAATTGTGAAATACCCCAAAACTAAATAAAATCAAAACCACCACCACCACCACCTAGTGATGGTTAAACTGGCCTGGACCGGAACCGGGACCGGCCAAGGACCGGTGAGAATCGGATATGGGACCACCGGTTACGACCGGTTATGCATTTTGTAGGATTTGTGAGATCAGGACCAACAAGACCGGTTATGGGACCGATTAAGGACCGTCTTGACCCGATTTTTTTTAAAAAAGAGTTGTTTTACAGCCGTTAGATAGATGTTAGGGAGCCTTTTTTTGTAGTTTTTGGCCTCGAAACACTATAAATATGTGTTTTGGTTGAGAGGTTAACATACCAAATTCTCAGTTTTTAAGACAATGTAATTTTAGTTATAATAAAACGTATTTTTAAAGTGTATTGACAAATTTAACAATGTATTAAAAACATATATCCTTAAATAATTAAAAAAAATAATTTTTTTAATATCGGGAGCAGTTGGGACCGGGACCCCATAACCGGTTATAGAATGGCGTGACCGGTCTTCACCTTTTCGATCGGGACCGGTTATGGCCGGTTATGCACAACCTTGGGACCGATTAGGACCAGTTTTTGGCCACCACTACCACCACCACAACCACAATGTAGAATCCGACAATAGAATGGACCAATTTGAGGGAACATAGGAGAGAGGGAAATACAGAGGAGTACGACAACAACCCGGGGGAAATGGGCGGCGAAGATACGAGACCCACATAAAGTAGCTCGTGTTTGGTTGGGTACCTCTGATCACGAGGTGGCCAATGGTGAAGGATATCACCAGAGAAGAAAAGGGTGGCCGGTGGAGGTTATGAGTTTCGTATAGGGTAGTCTAAGGGTTGTTTGTTTAGTTCTTAATAGTTTTATTAAAAAACAAACTTTGAATTATTAAGAGGTGAATTTTATTTAGGAAAAAAAAGTGTTTCTTACTCTTAATAGTTCTAAAACTCCTTGAATAATTTTGTATCTCGATCATCCGTTAACCATTAAACGCCATAATTTAATTGTAAACAATTACCAAACAATTATATTTCATTTTTGCACTGTATAATAAGAGAGACGGTGTGTTTTTGTGTGCGATTATTTATTTTTAATTTTAAATTAAATTAAATTATAAGAAAATCATAAAAAGACAAAAATACCTCCSAGTTAACAAATGTACCTGGCAAAAGCGTAATTTATTCAAAACAAAATCACAAGACAAACACATCGTRGATTTGTGGTTTTATTCAATTACCTGCGGGACCAGGGTTTTAGAAAGCTCTAAACAATCAGTGAAGATGAACGTCTCTTCATGGTTTCGACGTACCAAAAAGGGATCTTCATCGCAACCAGCAGCAACGGCGATAATCAATCAAAACGATGAACAACGCCACTTGTATGGAATCACTGATGATTTGATTGGTCTTATCAACTCCTTCACCATTGAAACATTCAAAAACTTCAATCTCCAAGGTATTTATTTCAATATTCGTGAATTGAGGTTTTTTAATGTTATTTTATTTCATTTAATGAAAWAACTCTGAGGTGGGGGTTTTATTAGATGAAGAAGCAGCTATTGATGGAGCCGAATCAACGTCTGGGAATGTGCAAAAGGATTTGTCTGATTGGCAAGAGAAACATGCTATCATTGTTCTTTCAAAAGTCAAGGTTAGGGTTTGTTTCTCTTTTGAACTYAGGGTTTGGGGTTATATATTGGTTTATTGAATTGGGTACTCCCTACTTGTACCATTGCAGTAGGTTTTTGCAATCTAGTTACTGGATATAACATTATTTACCATAAAACTAGTAAAACTCCATTTCAATCGGAAAGCTACACATTGATTATTGATGCCTAATCTAGTAGTAAATTACAAATTTAAAGTTGATGTGAATTTGCTACAGTTTGAAGTTTGTTATGAACTATCCATTTTTGTAGAAAATTCGAAGAATCCATGTTACCATGTGGCTTTTGAAAGTCAAAGTCTAGGCATTCTTTGYTTGAAATGGATAGAGTAGTAGCATTAATATGAGTTGCTCCTTCTTCTGGTGTTCAAATGCCTAAATCTCATGTAATGTACAACCCTTGATGCATGATTTGCAATTCAYACAGCATGATTGTGTTGGATTTGACCTTTTTAGTGCTGGAGAGAGGAGTGAGGACTTGATGGATCATGTTGCAGTAGATTTTTTCCTTAGAAATGTAAAATGATTGTAGTACTGTTAAATAAGCGAGAAGCCAATAGGTATAGTTCTCTTCTCCCTTGGCTGATGGTGGCTATGCCTTTTATGAATATCGGATTAAAGTTGAAACTCCCTGCCCCCATATATAAGCTCTATGTGGTGGATCCTYTCCCTAAGTTCATAAAAAAAATCACAGCTTCAATTTCTTGATAAATTCACGTGTTTTATGTTGTTAGTTCAAGGGTGATTGTGTATCTCTATTGCTTCTTGCTACTCTGTGAGAAAAAGTCATGTGAAATACACTAAAKATATTATATGTTTTCGTTCTTACAGGAACTATCACAACTTAGGTTTAAATTATGTCCACGCCACTTGAAAGAACGGGAATTTTGGAGAATTTATTTTACCCTTGTGAAGAACTATGTTGCAAAGTAAGATCTATTCTTTAGTCTTTTTTATGCTTTTCGTATCTCTTCGTTCTTATTCTTTGATAGTATTTTGACATGTTCAACTCCAATAAGAGATAATTAAAGGGACGTGGTAAATCTCAATGGTTATTAAACTTATACTTAATCCATTTTAGTGGCAGTGTTCTAACCACCCCCCCCCCCCCCCCCCCGGCGCGCCTAGGGCCGCTAAAGTGACCATGAAGGCGATAAGCATTATCCCACATTTTATTAGTCTGGGCTATATCAGATTCGCAATAGTTAAGCTTCCACTCCTGCTTTGTTGGCAACTAATTATTGAATAAAACGCCTAAGGGGCTGTTTACCCCTGATTCGTTCAGAGGTAAAGTTGTTTGGCAAAGTTTTTAAGCATCTGAACCGTTCCATTAGCCTCTGAACCCTTCATCCTTTAAGTGCTGGCTATATCATTCAGAGGGCAACACGTTCCATTATTACCCTCCAGATCCAAAGTCTCCATCGACATATATTATACATCTACAAACCCAGTACAAACACAACACATACGCAGCTGGAGATAGGGAAGATTTCTTTTTTCATCCTCGTCCTTGGAGAAACATATGGTTTCAAGAATGAAGCATCCAGGCCTCCTAGTTGTTGAATCTGGTGGTCGTCCATGGCTTGCCGACGATGATGAAGTTTATGATGGAGACTGGCATGAAGTTTCTAGTTAGGTTCATCACACCTAAATCATYACTACCATGGTTGATCTAGAAAAGGGAAGATTTCTGTAATGGAAGAGTTTGAAAAAATTGGATGATTTAAGGTAGAGAGAACAGTGACGTTGAAGTGGGTTATGGGTAGATTGAATTTTACCTTGGTGGGGAAATGCCCTTTGAAGATGGGTAGTTTGTAAATGGCCCAGAAGAGAAAGGGAAAGAGGGATAATTTGTACTTTGGGATAACCTATCACCTCTTGTACCGCCTAGCTGTGCATAATGCTTTTTGGAACACTATCTGTTAGTCCATATGGTGTAATATTAAGTGAAAGATGAGTTCATGGGCCCTGTTTTGTGAGGATAAATGTAGATGACACCCACAAATTGAAAAGGAAAGAAACCGGGATAAACAAGACAAATGGAACCTTGATATGTCCTTGTAGAAGTAACTTGCTTCTGTATTTGCAAAAACAGAAGAGACATCCTTTAACATTAACTTTTTTGTCAATATGGTAGTGGTCGTTTATGCATAAAATTGATTGCTACTGCCTTCTTGATATGCTATATAGTATTTATGCATATGTAAAAGTTCATATAGCTGATTAGCGAGTGCCACAAGCAATCTGACAACAGTCCGACCATTTTTTGGCTAATCGACCAAGCTATGAAACAAGAGAACTGTGATAGTACTTGTAATTTCAATTAGCATTCATGGATTATTTTCTCGTAGAAATTTCAAGCCTCTTTGTACTGATATATATACGTGTGTGTGTGTATAGACTTGGGATCATGTGAGACRATGTTGTTTTCGTGAGACCACCTTTTTACACTTGAAACTTTACATCAAAACACTGTAAAGGTTTGGATTCTTCTTACCTTCAACAAAGTTTTGCTGTAAAGTTTCAAGTGTAAAAATGTGGTATCATGAAAACCGGCTGGTTTCACATGAACTCAACCCTTATATATATATATATATATATAGAGAGAGAGAGAGAGAGAGAGAGAGAGAGAAAGAGAGAGGGAGGGAGGTTCAGGGGAAAACCCTCGAAAAAATGAAAAACTAAGGAACACCCTAGTAACCGTTCATCTGGACGGTATGTACATGTGCATATAAGTAATTGAAGCTGTTTCTTGGTTTATATGCACGCGTGCATGTTATGCACATGTGCATAACGGACAAATTGCTTAGAAATTACTTGCATACACATGTGCATACCGTCCGGATGAAAGGTTACAGAGTGTTCCACTATTTTTCATTTTTTTGCGGTTTTCCCCTGAACCTGACCTATATATATATATGTTCTTTTGTTTTTCCGTTGATTTTTCAATGCTATTGCAATTAATATTTCCAGGTTAAATGATTCTCTGTTCTGAAATGTTAACATGAATTTCCTATCTATCTTTACCATCACTGATTAAGTTTTTTGCTATCTTGATCACATCAGATATGAGTTACACGCCATACGATTAGAGAAACTTAAACAGATTGCAGTAGAGAATACGAAAGATTCAAATACAAGTGCATATGAAGTTGAAATGTTAGAATCAAGGAAGTCAACAAATTTGGAACCTGCAACTTCCCTGGAATAGATGCTGAATCATTCTAGACAGTCAAGAATTACCAGGTAGTTGTTACTTGTTCTTTCGTCTTCATGAAGTAAACATGATTTTTTGTGTACTTTCTGATACTTTTTAAGGTAATTTTCTGTTGTAATTATCGTGATATCTCCTCATTCATTGTATAGGTTCGCAAATGATGAATTCTTTTAAGCAAATAGATTAAGAACTTTTCACTCATACRTAAATTACCACAAATATATCAGTTAAAACACTAAGCCAGAAGTGATAAAAAATGATTTAACTGTATCTGATATCTGTATATGGGGTCTAAATAGAATATATAAATAATATATTTGTATTGATTAATTATTTAGAAGAAAAAAAAAATCATACATTAAAAAGGGCAAAAGTCTAAAGCTATACTATTTTTCAGATCARTAAACTAATTTTAGAGGGAGAAAATTCCACCCAACTCCAAAAATTACTATGTTATTATGCTTACCACTGTTACTGTAAGCCACCACAAACACACACCAACRCTAACACAAACCAAAATTAGTTTCTATCGTCATATCTAGATTTACACCTTTCTCGCACGTACCACCTCAATCAATCCCTTCCTGCCACTTTTTTTTTGAGTCATTTGTTTGACAACTTTGAGGAAGTGTTTTGCCTGATCTGATTGTGGTAGTCTAGAGTATTCACATGTGATTCATAAGCTCTTCTGTTTGATATGCAATTGAAGAAACTGTGAAAGCATGACAGTTTCACTGATTTGCCAAAGTTTGATGGTAAATTTGTTTCATTTACTGTTTTAGTGTACATTAAGGGGGCGTTTGGTTCACAGATTTTGAAGGAATCTGATGGAATTGGAATGTTGAATTCCATAGACCAAATTCCTTTCCCTAGTTTGGTTCATTCTTTTTCATGAAATGAATCTTCAAAATCCTACAAATTYCACAAATAAAGGAATTTAACATTCCTTAGCAACTACATGGTATTTTGATGGAATGAAGTTCTTTATTCTCATAATACCAAATATGCCCTTAACCCAATATACCCTTGAGATTCCTTAGCACCAAACGCCACCTAATGTGTGCCAAGAAATCTCAAGTCAAAGCTTGACTAARATTATTATAAGCAATGTCTTTGACAAGATCTTTTTACACACCCACAGACTTAGGAATCAGGACCAAACGCAAGTAGACAGTTAGTCCCAACATTGTCTTTCAAGTAATAAAATGGTACAAGTACTAAGTATCGTCCGCAAAGATTGTAGTAAAAGTTTAATAAAAGTAATATGAAAGAAATGATTTCAAATGGCGATTTTGAAGGCTTCGATTTGTGTAAGTTATCACTTGATGAAATTAACAAATAATAAAAGAAAGCCAGGGTGTAACACTTAGGGTGAGATGTAAATACAATTTCCAGTAGACCAATGCTGTCAAAATGCTACAACATGCAATTAGTAACAACTATTTTCACCGTTTATTTTGAGGGTATTTCTTTCGGACTTCACCATTACACTGATATTATAGTTTTCAAACTATGTCTCTATGTGGTATCCGAACCAGTGAAAGTAACAAATGGTGTTCTCAAA